TAAGATATAGACCTCCAATCAACTGCCCATTCACGACCAAGCCATCCGGCTCAAAGAACAAAACTCCACCAAAATTAATATAGAGCTCTTGATTAATCTTAGTTGTCCATTCATTAACCAGGTTGGATGATGTTCAGAAATTCAGTGAAGGACTTATCTAATTGTACACTCAATGTAAATGGTTCAAAAAGAATATTTAAATTGGCGAATGGACATGAGTGAGACTAATTCAATATTTTTAATCTTACTTTCGATGAAAATGATAAAATGGTCTGAGAATAGGATATCCAGTTTACTTTCAGTAAATTATTGTTTTATTGATTTTTTTTACCCATTGATTTATTATTTCATTAATATTTTTGTTTTGGATCTATATTTCAAAGACATGGATTTTTTAGCAGTTGTCATTAACTCTAACTTGGTTCTAGACAGGATCATACTTTTGCAGATGTATTTTGATGAATTAATTCGTTGATAGAGATTAAATTCTTTTTAATTGGATCACCGAAAATATTATGTGTTAGACTCTTTTTAATACTTGAGTGGTATAGAATTATTAAAATGGGTATACTATGTGTAATCGATTTTCTAAACACAGTTCTTTTTAATGTTTCATTTGGCCTATTTGTTAATGAGACGACTAGAAATGAGATACTGTCATTAGGTTCTTCATCTAGCGTGAAGTTGATCGGTGGATGAAGTGTGTTAAATCTTTCGGAAATACTAATCTTTTCCATTTCATTCGTACGTAATAGGAATGCGTCATCTATATAGTGAGAATAAAATGCAAAATTACGATTGATTTTACGAAATTGTGCGACCATCTTTCATTGTATTGGGTGAGTAACTGCCTCACACCCGACATAGTTGAACTCCACTAGTCACGGTTTCTTAACATAACTCGGAGAATTCCTTCTTGAAGCTAGTCACTAGAGAGCACATGTAAGGAAGTTACACACCAAACACAATTAAAGATGGCTGCGCAGTATCGTGTACTGTTTGACGTTGAACATTAATACTGCTGTATGCAGACTCAGTAGTCTAGAATTAAGGCGTTTGCGCGGGACCAAATGTCCTAGGTTCAACTCCCTCGTGAGGAGTTGTAGATGAGCTCTACCGAGAATTTCCACACATTATTGAGATATTCGTTCAGTACTTTCAGGTTTTTATGATGGTCTAACAACCCTATACTCTTGATTGCAATTGAATCGACAGTCAGCATTGAACATTCGTTGTCCACTTACGAAGTAACACTTTCAGCATGCAAACAGAAATTCTAGTTTCTAACTTTCCCTTAGTAATCTCAGGTATATAAAATCCAGTTTCTTGTATATTAATGAATAAGGATGGTTTATCAACAGATATCATAATTTTGTTTTTAAGGAAAGATTGTGTTTTTTCAAGAAATTTTGTTGACAAACTTAGAAGAATCATTCACATTAGTCTTAATAATTTACTTATATAATATTAGTCATTTACATAGTGTTATACATTTAATTGTAGCATGTTTATACTTACTTACTTACTCACTTACTTACTTACCTACTTACTTACTTACTTACTTACTTACTTACTTACTTACTTACTTACTTACTTACTTACTTACTTACTTACTTACTTACTTACTTACTTACGTCTGTTACTCTCAACGGGGCATAGGCAGCCGACCAACATTCTCCAACCCAATCTACCCTGAGCCTTCCCTTCCAGATCTATCCAATTTTTTTCATTTTTCTCATGTTTGTCTCCATTCCTCGGCGTAATGTGTTTTTTGGTCTTCCTCTCCTCCTTCGGCCTTAAGGATTTCAAGTGAGGGATTGTCTTGTGATGCAGTTTGGTGCTTTCCTCAATGTGTGTCCTATCCACTTCCAGCGCTTCTTCCTGATTTCTTCCTTCATTGGGATCTGGTTTGTTATCTCCCACAGTACGTTGTTGCTAATAGTGTCTGGCCAACGGATCTGAAGTATTTTGCATAGACAGCTGTTAATAAACACCTGTATCTTCTGGATGATGGCTTTCGTAGTTCTCCAGGTTTCCGCCCCATACACTAGAACTGTTTTGACATTTGTATTGAAAATTCTAACTTTGGCGTTAGTTGACAATTGTTTTGAGTTCTAGATGTTCTTCAGTTGTCAAGCATGATTATACAACTAACATTCATTACTTAAGTACTAAACAGTAGTTAATTGTTTTAAAAGAATAATAATTTGTAATTTAGAAAATGCCAAAAAAAAGTGTCATCAACATAAAACTAACCAAAATGGATAAGAATTCAATAAAACCTATTAGAGGTTACATGTGAACATTTACGAAAAAAAAATCGATTTATTCAAAGGTTAATATTCTAAAATGCCTTTAATAACTATTAACCATTATTTGTACTTAACCACATAAAAATAGACATTTTTTTTATTAAGTTAAATGAGTTCATCATTTGTTACTTAGTTTCTTTTCAATATTTTTAGAGTACTAAACAATTGACTATAGACTTTGGTCAGTTTAACAAAAAAATTAGTAACCGAATTGAAAAAAACAAAACATTTATCGACATTTGTTACCAAGATACATTCAAGACTAAGATGATGATACCGTTTCTGACCATCATTATTGACTTTTGTAACAATATAATAATCACGACATATATATAGGTATGTCTTTTTCTTTGTCTTTATCTCCTGTAAACTCAATTAATAGTGAAACTGAGAAAAGACTAAACAGCTGATTCAACTATTTTTTTAAAGCTCCTATGTATTGAGCAGTTATAGTTCAAACAATTAGATTTATGATTTACAGTTCATATAACCAGTATAGAACCTAAAGATTAGTAAATCTCAGTTTACTGGTCGGTAGTTTTACATTCAACTTGTTCTATTATTCAGAATGGGATTAATCTAGTACTGACAGTGAACTATTATTAATATGAGTATTGTTAAGTAAGATTAAGAAAAATTCGAGTTTTTTTTTAAAAGTGACCTTTAACACAAATCGATTCATGCTAGTGAATGAATTGTAGAAAGTTTAAAGTATGAATTAGTCAGTTGCAATTCACTCAATGGAATTAAGCTCAACCATGTAGGATGGATTAATGTAACACAGTTATAATGCCATATTTAAATTATTGAAGTTATTAGCTACTCACTTTAGATTAACTGAATATCCTCTATACTTGCAAAATATTCTCTATGGTAATTATTTGAATAAAGTTTAGATGTCGTTCTCAGACTGTAATATTGTTTTTCGGTATGTACGTGATGTTTATGCTAACCAATAATTGCATTGAACATTATTACGTGCTTAATTAAAACTACAAATATGATATGACTTTATGTGTTCTTATTGTGTTCAGTCTGATTTGTGTACTGGTCCACTCCTGAATACCATGTTGCTTATTGGACAGTCCTGGGGACTGACAGTTAGTATGTAAAATTCAGCTGTAATACTTGTCTGTTCCACAGTATACTGTTAGGGAAATGAAAATGGCTAAAGTGGTAGTTATCTAATTGTAAAAACAATTTAAGTAAGAAGATTCCAACATAAGAATTAAGTTAACAATCATGTAGCGCGATTATATAGAATCTCATACTCTTCTAATTTGAGAAGAAAATTTTAGAAATTAGAAAAAATTAGATTGGTAATTCAGTTAAAATCGAGATTTTCGAGTGAAATATAGGCGACCTTACATGGTAATGAACATAAGATCAGGTTTACCGATAACATCTATTTATTGCACTGGGATCCGATGAACCGCATATAATCTCGAAAATACAGCAAAGCTACTATCTACTGCTTCTTGATTAAAGATTTTAAAGCATAAACTTCTTGATTCATTAATTACAGGCTGTCGAATATTCGTATAAACTTATCGAATATATAATTTAAAGTTCAATAAGAATAGGTATTAACAAATGAAACAGGTTGTCAGTTGTTCAGGCATTTGAAAATCACTAATACAAATTAATAACACAATAGATGATTTGTTCGATTAGCAGTTTTAGTTTTGTATAAGCGACTGTGTTTAAAACATCAGAATTATACTCATACGTAACTTGGTATTAGAATTGATATCCGTCTATCAATAAAAGGTCGAGTATACTGCGCGGCAGTCCGTTCTATCTTACTTTACGGTAGCGAAAAATGGTCATTAAGAGTAGAAGACACTCGTAAGCTACTAGTATTTGACCACAGATGCCTTAGAAATATTGCTGGCGTCTGCTGGGATAATCGGGTAAGTAATAGTGAGGTTAGACGCAGGGTATTAGGAAAGGATGGTAAATCAGTTGATGAGGTTATGAATCTTCATCGACTGAGATGGTTGGGCCACGTGTTACGTATGCCTGAACACCGATTACCACGACGTGCAATGCTATCCGGTATTGGAAATGGTTGGAAGAAAGTTAGGGGCGGTCAAACCAAAACGTGGCATCAATGCTTGAAGTCACTAACTTCTAGTCTGAGCCATGTTGGTAGATGCAGACTATTTGGTTGGGGTCCACGTGACTATCGTAACCAATGGTTGGAGACTGTTGATGACATGGCTCAGAATCGATCACAATGGCGTCGGTGTATACACTCCCTGTCTTCCCTTAAACTAAGAGATTAAAAGCGCTTCATATCTTTCTTTCTACGAACCAATTCTTTCTTCTTGTACTATATCTCTATATGCAATCTTTCTCTTATATATTACCACCTTTTACCTAACCACTGTTATGAATCCGGTGTTCATCTTGTTGTGCTGATGCGGTATGGCAACCTGGACCGATGCACATATGTGCCTGGTCCTACGTTGTAGCTGACTGACTGATTAGAATTGAAGAATACCCTAGAAAAAAGCCAACTAGTCTTTATTCAATAAATTTTACTATATAAGAAATTAATTATTTTGATTCATGTTATAGTGACCATAGTGATAGAAGCTACTAGTACAAGATTAAAACCAAGCTTATGTTAATTTATTCTAGAAAATTATTGTTACCCCAACAATGAAAAAGAGAACAACACTATTGAGTTCCATGATTTTTGAGGCACAACATTTATTTCAATTAACATTAATTTGAAAAAAAAAAATCAATTATTTGAACATGGAGTGTATATATATAGGTCAAAGTAATAACACCAACAACAAAAAAAAACAACAAAACAAACAATGCGCCTACGTTTTTTATGCAGTTATAAAACAATCTAGCCTATCAAACAATTAAAATGTTTGAAGGCTGTATAAACCAAAATGATTCAATATTTAAGAATAACAACAAAAAAAGAAGCAAAATAAACATCTATCCATACAAATACACACATGCACACACACATACATTTACAAATATCATTTTATTATTTTAAACAAAAGATTAATTGAATTAAATGGTAACAATACAAACATTCAATATGTTATATCATCTAACCGGTTTTTCTGTATTTCATTCCGATAACAACGAACCGATTAAAGACTGTTTTAAGGATATTGAATACAATAATAATAATAATCATACTTAGTCGTTAAAAATGTTCTTCTTTTTTTTTATCTATAATACTTTTCAAGTTTTACATACATCTATTTCATTAAAAGTGAAAATGACTTTTAATAGTAGAGTTCATTATCCCATTTTTGAATTCGGCAAATTAAAAAGATAGAAATCCCGATAGTAGCAATCTAAAATAATAAAAATTTGAAATTAATTGAAATGAATAGTAACTACTGTAAATCAACTATTTATTTATAATTCTGTAGAATAAAAAACAAATTAACTTTAAAACTTCATTATATGTGAAAATTATATTTGAAATAATCTCAGCGATTTCTTCTGAAGAAGTTCAGACAATTTGGTTGGACGAAACGTTGGAATTATTTAAATTTCTATCGCTGAGATTATTTCAAATATAATATTCACATATAGTGACTTCTCTTTACTCAGCGCCCAGTATCTGTCAAATTATTCGTTCTAATCTTGACGAATATTTGTTTAAAACTTCAGCTTTAAATTTAATTAAATAGTTCAATAAGAAAAATTATTTGATGGTTTATCAATGTATCAGTTAGTATCACAAGGAGTTTTGTGAATATTATTGTAATTTTAATAGTTAAGATAATGATTCAATTGAAGCTAGATCATCATGGAAAACCCGGGAGCACTGGACAGCTGTTTCATCCTACTGTGAACTCCTCAACAGTGAGCACCAACGATCCCGCCTCACGAGATCGGCCGTCCAATGCTTCCACGTTTTCCATGGTACTCTAGCTTCAATTCGCTTATGATCTCAACTATTAGAAAAATATATATTTAAAAACAATAACGTTAACACATAGGATGGCTAATGAATAACATATATGTAAAAATATAGTGAGTTATATTATTTTATATCTAAATTTATTCATAATGATTCCTGAAAATTAATAAAAACAAAATTATATAATTGATTATTTGTTCTTATTCTATTACTCATCCAATCCTACTTTCATCATTATCGGTAGTCTAACTGACGAATTTCCAACATATAGGCATAATTACTAAAAGTGTTTAACCACTTGATGATTTAATTCAAATGAATAATCGATATAATATGTGTCTTACATTGGTTAGAAGCACAAATAAATCGATTAGTTATCAAGGAAATATTTGAATTCAATTGATATTGTTTGGTTTGTATCTTCCTGTTAAGTTTTAAGACTGCAATTGATCAGTCTGTTATTGGCATATGTGCATACTGTGCGTATGCCTCAATATTGCCTTAATTCACAAGCTTTTTGTAAGCAATGATCCATCATTATTCATCATTACAACTCTGAGATACAAATACATCCAGCTGACGAGTCCCAAATAGGACGAAACGCGCTTCCTGGATTCCATTGCTAGTCACTATCCATCATTGCTTACAAAAAGGAAATATTTGTTTTAAATATTTCAATATTTTTTTTCATCTGTGTATAATAAAATCCATTGTGTTAAATAATATTATTTCAGATAATCTAAAAGATAACTTTGACTTATAATAAACTGAAATAAAAAGATATGAATGAATAGTAAATATGAAATACAAATATATATTTCATTCTTATGATCATTGAATAAAAAGATGAAGTCTTACTTCTTGAAAATATGTGAAGTGTTTATCATTGTGGTATGTAAAGGTTAATTATTTTCAAACATTAACTATTCATTTTATAGTTGAATTCATGAGCCGATTAAAGCTAGACCACCGTGGAAATCCTGGAAGCACTAAGTGGCCGTTTCTTCCTACTGTGGGACTCTTCAGCAGTGTGCATTCACGATCTCACCCCATGAGATTCAAACCCAGAACTTATCGGTCTCAAATGCAAACATCTAACCCCTAGACTAATGAGCCTGTATCCAACGGTGTTAATATCTAACTTCAATCAGTTCACCAAAAAACGCCATTGTCCACCATATCATATCATATGATTATTCTGATTGATGAATTCCATTTAAGCATAAAGGGAAATATTATGAAATAAAATAGCATAAATGAATGAACTCTAAAAATAATATCAATAGTGATAATAATAATAAGACGACTGTAATCATTAACATTTTTGTATCATACCTGTAACAGGAAAAGTATAATTGGAATAGCTATGAATGGGAGGGCTGTTTTCTCTGTTTTATTTTTTGCTGCAATTAAACAACCAACTTTCATATTTGATTCATTTGTTGTTTTTACACAATCTTTATCTTTAAGACTGTCTTGAAATTTTCCATAATCAGCTGAAAATATATTTCAAAATAATAATAATAATAATGAATTAGTCTTTGTTTATTTTCATCTTCTGCTAGTCAAAATAATATAGATCCATATATTAACTATGATATGTGAAATAAAATCTCTCCAGAGTTTCATATTCATTGAAGTCTTAAGATTAGTTAAACCTGAGCTTAAATTTTTGAAATATTTAATGGAGAAAGTTATAATGTTTTGTCGTCAACCGATTGAAAAATGAGATAACACATAAATGTATTACAGATAAAAGTTTAGATCGTTGTATTTTAACACAATTGCATGAATGTATCAACTTTATTGTATAATTAGAAGATTTTAGTTATGATACCATATGAAATGAGAATTGAACAAGTTTTAAACATATATTACCCTATTTTTCATTGATTTTGTTGTTGTTTAAAATCAGTTTGTAATAGGAATTATTTTATGAAAATTGTTCTATCAATTCAGTTACTATGACTGAATTCAGGTTTGAATATTTTTTTGAATATTTTTTTTCTGGTTAGCGATTTTTTAGCGAGTTAGTTTTCTACGGGATGGGGACGCTAACCCCATGCCCAACCCTCCTCCTTTATCCGGGCTTGGGACCGGCAGTAGCCCCCGGAGGGACTCCAGGTGGAAGAAGCGCTGGAAGTGGATAAGACACACATTGAGGAAAGCACCCAGCTGCGTCACAAGGCGAGCCCTCACTTAGAATCCTCAAGGCCAAAGGAGAAGGAGAGGAAGACCAAAGAATACATTACGCCGGGAAATGGAAATAGACATGAGAAAAATGAACAAGAATTGGACGGAACTAGAAAAGAAGGTCCAGAACAGAAAGGGTTAGAGAATGCTGGTCGGTGGCCTATGCTCCATTAGGAGTAACAGGCGTAAGTAAGTAAGTAAGTAAGACTGAATTCAGGAGATACTCCTGGTGTTCTAGTAAGAAGCCGTAACTAGTGGAGTTCAACCTGGTCTGTTGTAAGATATCAGCTCACTGAAGACAATGGTGCATGTTGGCGCAACTTCGTGGACTATGATAAAACAGATAGACTTTTAAAAAAAGTCCATTTTCATAAACGAATGAATGAATTTAAATTTACCCAGATAAATTATAAGATCATTTACACTGGCTCATAATATTAAAACTAAATATTTGAATAGTTATTGGAATATTAAAAAGTTTCTTAATGAGAGTATCATTAATAAATCAACATAGATGAATCCAATTCTATTACTTAGATGGTGACAACGAATTGTATTTTCAACACAAAATTACAGAATCTTTTGGTAAACTATGAAAACCATACATTGAATACTTCGTTTGCAAAATTTCATCATTTTGTTCTTCACATTCTGTATGATTCTTCAAAGTCACAATTACTTTCTATTTCCGTTTTCTTCAAGTCGACCTTTACTACCTTCTGGTACTATGTCTTCCTCTTCTAGTTAATGTTACATACTACTTATGTCTGTCGACATAAGTAGCACACACCACCGACTAACGGACATGTTGTTTGTACATTATAATCCATATGTTACGGAACAACATAAATAGTTTGACATAGTTAAATGTATTGTTATTTACTTTTCATGAACTACCCTTTCGAATACATTTTTCTGATTAAAATAGTTTTGAAAAGGATAATCTCAGAAAAAAACTCAAATCTTTTCTTAAGAATGTATTATGTATATATCTCACTTAAAACTGTTTGGTTTATTTGAGTAATGTTTTTTTAAGAGGCTAATATAAATTATGAAAATGATTAAATCAACGGTTTGAATATAGATAGATTAGTAATTATTTCTTAGGCATATTGCTCTTAAATAAGAATAAAGAGTAGAATTCATTTAAGCCATTTCTTGTCTTGATTCAAATCTATTAAAAAACAAACAAACAAACAAACATTTCAACATTCATGCTTCTTTTAAATGCCAAAAGTGTTAAAAAGAATTGATGATTTTGTTTTTATGAAGTGGTATGAATTGTTTATCAGTAACTTGATAAATTGATATGATGATAGAGGAAAATTACTTATTATTGTATGTATGTAAAATGTATTGTTGAAAAATGTATTTTAATGGTTGAATTCACGAGTTTATCTGAGCTAGACCACCATCGAAAACCTGGAAGCCCTGGACGGCCGTTTCGTTCTAGTATGAGGCTCCTCAGCAGTGCGCAACCACTACTACTACTACTACTACTACTACTAATAGAATCTCTACAAATCCCCATCCTAATAAAGATAAAATATTTGCCTGAAAAAGAGGAAATAGCATACCTTTTCTCCAAAAATCTTTTGAAGTATATTTACAGCATGCTGGAGGAATTTTAATCGCATCACCAGTAGTACCATCTGAATATTTTCGGCCTTCAAGATACCAACGCGATTGTGTGTTTGAAAAGTCTTGAGAACCTTGTAATCCACAACATTCAAGCTAAATAATTAAAAATTATACAATATTATATGTAGATATATATAACGGTATAACAAACATTTTAAGATAATTGTGCAGATAAATTTAATTTGTCAAATGTGAAGAGATTTAGAAACAAATCACTGATTAGTAAGAGATTGTAAGAAATCATTCTAGACATATCTTTGATGATACCCAACAGAAAACAATCAATCCTGAAGACTTATTTTTATGACAGACAACAACGAACGAATATAATTAATTACTTTTTGACTTATTATGCAACATAAACATCCTTGCTTTAACTTGTGGTGCCGGTTATTACGTCAAGCCCATATACCTTACTCTAGCTTTCGAAAAGTTTAATCTATTCATTCTGCTTGAGTCATATTTTGACCTTGTTAATTATTCGCTCATCAATCTTCACTGTTTTTATATGATCGTATGTTTGTACACTTCCTATCCCGTTCATCACATGTCTGTAACTTATTTTTGTGTAACTATAAATAGTGATTAACCTTTGGTTAATGGGGTGTTGGCTTACCCGCCATCTCCACTGCACGTCGTTTCTCTTCTCTCTATTTCATTCGCTTCATATACAAAATATATATATTCAAAAGTCCATTCTCTTTATTTGACTTATTTAATTCCGTTATATACAAGGATAGGTGATAACAAACATTCATACGATCTACTTGGAGTCAGATCTCGGGCCACTAAAGTGGAGAGCCCGTCAACAAGCACCGTCCGATCTAAATGACGACAAAAAAAAACTCAATATAACATAAGCGTTTGCACACTGTCATGAAAATCCAAACCTTAATAAAAGAACTTATTACATTCACTTTAATTACCAATACTTACATGATAATTTTTTCTTTTACGAATTACAACAAACAACTTCTATTCATTAGTGAATTAAAGTTTAAAATTAAAAAAAAATAATTTTTCTCAGATTTTTATATGTTACTCACTTCAATCATCAATTGATCCATTTTTAATGAATAATCTTCAAATTCTGAAATTGGAAAAGCTCCAAATGTTCCACGGTATTCAGATACAAATCGACGTGTAATCATTTTCATATAATCTCCCTTCCACTAGATTAACAAAAAAAAGATAAATGTATTTACTCAATTCAACACTAGTTTTATAAAAGTAATTGGTTATAGACATTTCAAATAGACTGAATGAACAAATTGTTAAATCTTAATATGATTGGTAATTTGTTGGTAGAATTATTTTGTCTGCAATAGTTACAAGTTAAAGAACGTTTGAGCTATTCATATACACAATATTTATACTACGGATTTGATAATGAAGGTAATCATAAAAAAACATTTCCGCAATTACCCTCTAACACAAAAAGATGAATTGAAAGGGAAACTTGTTATTTAATTAGAATAACTTGAAGTGATAGAAATCATTATTTATAACAACGAAATTATAACCTTCAAACATGTAGAAAATCAACAAACTAACAGTTATAACATGTAAAAGAACATTTGGAAAATTGCATTTGTGAAAATATACTTATAGTTACCGTTTTTAGTAAGACTTTAGCATTAATAATAAGAATGGAGAAATTCTTTGATTGCCTTAACACGAACAAATAATAAACAGTACAAGAACTGGTCTAAATAAGTTTGAGTATCTTGAATGATTCATGAAAATATATTCCAACATTACAATGTGCTCATTAGTGACTAACTTCATGAGGGAATTCTCGGAGTTCTAGTGAGAGGCCGTGACAAGTGGAGTTATTCCGTGTCGAGTAGGGGCAGGTATCTACCTCAGTATAATGAACGATGGTCGCGCAGTTTTGTGGATTGGTTGAGGTTAGACATTAACACCGTTAGATGTTGGCTCAGTGGTCAATTAGGTTAAGTGTTCGCGCATGCAACTGAAGGCCTCGGGTTGGAGTCCCACGAGCTGGATCGTGGACGCGCACTGCTGAGGAGTCCCACAATAGGACGAAACGGCCGTCCAGTGCTTCCAGGTTTTCAATGGTGGTCTAACATCTATTGGTTCAAGATCACAATCAATAGCTTAATAATCTCCACAACATTATACTGATAATTAAATTGACAAATGAAGAGGGAAAAGACAGAGACATAGTGCTTTTTTAAATGACCAATGTTATTCAGAATTATCAGACTATTGACTATTTCAAAGAACTCATATCATTTCATAATATAACGTGAACGTTCTATTTGAAGGAAAATATTTCTGGTAATTTACTCATTGACATCTCCAAAGAATGAATGGTGGTGAAGATTTGTAGCCCAGGTGGATGATTTTGATGGAGTTTCGTTCTCTGATCTGAATCAAACGACTCATCCATCAGAATGAATGGTTTCCTGTAAGAAAAAACCAAACCTGCCTTTTTCTTATTTTCGGTGAAATTACACTTTATCTTTTCTCATGTTACATTTGTACTGACTCATTGAATGTGATAATTTTCACACATGAACAATCTAATTTGAAGCTGAAAATCACTGTAGGTATGAACATTTCAACGTTTCACCTTGCTAAAACTATTACTACATATATTTCGATGGAGACTGATCAATTATAGTCCTTTACATCAACATTGGAAAAGATCCAATTCTTACATATTACTTCCTACCAGTTGAACAAATAAAAAAATATCTTAACTTAGTAGCCTGGTTAACTAAGCTTATCCACTTGGAGTGATAAATACTGAGTTCAGATCTCTAGAAGAACATCAACACTCGAAGGTAGATGCTTTCTATGTTGAACAAGATGAGCTTCCTGAATCCTACTACCAGTCATAGTCTAATACAAAATTTATATATATAATAGGTTAGTGTTTAGAAAATATTCTCTGACTAATATCTTTGCGATCACTGTCTTACGTGAATTATTTGTTTATTAATGTTTCCTTGTGCTACATTGATCATATGTAGAAAGTTTCGGACGCAAGACTTATTATTTCAAACCAATAAATTAAAACTATTATTTGATAACTAAAACATCAGGCGTTTGGTTAATTTCTATGAAGAGAACAATAGTATCATACTGCTAAATCCAGAGATAGAACTCAACTCTTAGCTAAAAATAAGACTGACAATCCTGATTATTTCTATTAAGTTTTAACAAGATGAACGACATGATTATGAAGACCTTCACAGATCAGCGGAATCACAGAATACAATTGACAAATTGGATGTAAATAGATGATTTTGACTTCATACATGACCTAGCTCTTCTATCCCATACACACCAACAAATGCAAATAAAGACAACAAGTGTATCAGCTGCTTCGTCATCTGTAGGCTTCAACATACACAAGGGAGAAAGCAAGATACTTAAATACAACACGGAGAACATTAATTCAATCATACTTGATGGAGAAACTATGGAAGAGATGGAAAGTTTCACGTATCTCGACCGCATCATTGATGTGAAGACACATATTGACAAAACAAGGACAGTATTCCTACATTTGAACAACATATGGAACTCAAAACAACTGTCAAACAATATCAAAGTCACAATCTTCAATGCGAACGTCAAGACAGCTAGTTCTATTGTATAAAGCTGAAATATGAAGAACTACTGCGACCATCATCAAATATGTACAAGTATTTATCAACAATTGCCTAAGCAAGATACATTATGTCCGCTAACCGGTTACCATTATCAACAGCCGACTATGGAAGAGAAGAAACCAACTTCTAACTGAGGAGGAAATCAGGAAAAGACGTTGGAAGTGGATAGAACATACATTGAAGAAATCACCAAACTACATTACGAGGCAAACGTTAACTTGGAATACTGAAGGGATACGGAAAAGTGGAAGACCAAAGAACATACTGTGTCGGGAATTGAAAGCAGACATGAAAAGGATGAATAGCAACTGGAAATAACTGTTAGGCGGTCTATTCTTCTCTACGAGGGGTAACCGATTTAGTCAGTACGTAGTATGGAGCTTAAGTATAAAAGTATTACAATCATACCCATACAACTTGGAATCATTTTTATCATTGAGTAAAATGAATTTCTGTTAACCTGATCAAGTCTTTATCTCAATATTTTAAAATTATTGTCATAGTAATATTTGCGTTTAATTATATTACCGTTAGTAAAAATAATTTATTATGATTGTTATAACTTTTGCCCAGTTGATTATTACGTGACAATGTCACCAATTGAATACATAACTTATAGAGGTCATTCATGATTATCCATATATTGAATAATGATACATATATAAAAGATATAAATCCATGCAAATAATAATAGATGAACAATTAAATTTACCAAACTTTGTGTGCCAGCCATCGCTGCAACACCTCCACATTCAAGTAGAACTAGGGTAATCATCAAACCAGCGAACTAAAATCATAAATTACAGCAGTAAATTAGAATAAAACTTCTCTCACTCGGTACGTATATGTAGTATTTATAAAGGGAAAATATATCCAACAGATATGTTACCATGGAATGGTAGAATATAAGGATAATTTGATGAAAGATTATAAATTTTAAGTGTGTTAATCAACGTATAAGATAATGTTATCTAACAGCTTTTTGGTTTTAAACAAATTACTTAATACTTTATTTAAAAGAAAGAACATTTTATGAGATTTATTAGTCTAACCAGGTTGTTTCACTTTATTATCAATAAAATCAATTAAGTAGCTTAAAATGTAACGGATATGCCATTACATTCTTTTCATTATAGAATAACAAATATCAGCTGAAAAATCATTTAATTATTCCTGTTATCTAATGCTGGTGAGCGGCCTATGCTCCTTCACGAGAAGTAACAAGCGTAAGTAAGTTATCTAATAGTAGTGATTATAGGGATTCGAACGCTACTAAAATTTGAATGCTTAAAATGTATCCAAGTGAAAGTCAAGAAAAATCTATAGTTATGTATATATGTATATAGTTAGCTGAAATGATTCCTTGATTTTCAATAATTGCCATAGTAACTACTACATATCATGATGTAATAAAAATCCATTGTAGATTTGACATTATTAATTAGAAACTTAATTATTAATCAAGTCAATTATCCTATGTAAAAGAATGAACTAATTGTAGTATTTATTCTATCCTGTTGTTAAAAGCTTATATCTCATACTTTACACTCACGAATGGTATGATCCATATCAAAAAGGTTCATCTAACCTATTGATCAATTAAAAAGATGAACATAATTGTACTTAATAATGATTAGTTGTTGATATGTAAATAAATGGTTTTAATCTCAGATTTTTCACGTTCGTACAGCCAATGAGAATTTTAAGAAGAATGGGACATTTTTCTTATATGGTATTCTTTGGTTTGATTTAATGCAGAAATGTTTCCCAACGAAATTATGTATAAGTCATTCAGTTAGCCACAACCTAGAGCCTGATACGTATGTACATACGTTCAAGTCAACATACTTCATCAGTGCATAGAAACGTAATGGTCAGGTCAAATCCCAGAATCGTTGAGATAATAACATTATGATTAGTGATTAAAAAGATTAGGCATCAAAGATAAGATTAAAGGTAATACAAATTACTGGAAACAAAAAACGTTATGAGGAATTCAAGAGCGCAGAATTTAGGAGAATATAAAGAACAGATGCATCTGCACCATCGCAAAGGATTTTGAGCTATTTCATTCAAGGTCTCTGACCATTGGTTACAATAATCAAGCAGACCCCAACCAAGTAGTCCATACCTATTAACACGGCTCAGCCCAATTTTCAGTGACTTCATGGACTAGAACCATACCTTGGTCTGGCCGCACCTAGATCTCCTCTAACCTATTCCTTCAAAAGATAACATCACCTCTTAAACTAGGCAGTGAATGAGCATACTTAACACATGTCCCAACTATCTCGGTTGATGAAGACTTACTACCTCACCAAGCAATTTCCTATCGTTAATTAACACCCTTCTACTAACTTAGACACTGCTTACTCCGTGGTCCAAAAGTATATGTACAATGTTTCGAAGACATCTAAGGTTTGAGCACCAACGCAAGCCAATTCTGAGAACCGCACCTTAAACACGTTTGCATTATTGCTTAATGTAGTCAGGAAACACTGCATTTTGCAAGCGTCTTCAATAAACAGAACTATTTCATTTGCGTATTCTAAGTCAGCAACCGAATCTCTTGCAAAAACCAATCCTTGAAACGTCAGACAATGAAAGTGTTATCTCTAAAATCGTGTCTATGACAAAGATAGATAAAAGTGTGGAAAGCGGACAACCCTGATAAATATCACTTGAGGTAACCGATTCCGATAAAATTTCTCCATAAGCTCTGACTCAGCCAGTAGTATTTAAATAGACAGCTTGTACAAGATTAATCTATTTCTTCGGTACGTCTTTCAATAACAGATACTACCATAACGCTTCACGGTCAACGGAGTCGAACTCCGCCTTAAGGTCAAGGATTTCGTAAATTATGTTGGATGACGGCCCAGTGGTCTAGAGGTTAGGCATTCGCGCGAAACCAGAGGTCCTGGGTTCAAGTCTAGCGGACGGGATCGTGAATGCCCGCTTCTGAGAGGCCCGATACTAGGACGAAACAGCCATTTAGTGCTCCTAGGTTTTTAATGGTGGTCTCGCTTAGATCGACTAGTGGTTTCTACCGTCAAAATATCTAATTAATTAAGTGTGGATTATTGAAACATTCGATCGAATAATCCTGAAATTCTTTCATTGCAGTAGTTTATCGTAAGATAACTAAATGAAATCTAAAAATAGATAGTGAGTAACACATGGTGTTATGTTGAGCAATCAAATTATCGTGGTAGATTACCCCTCTTTAAACTCATTATAACAAATAATAACTGATCGAACCACATACGAATCAATTATTTTAATTCTGTAGATCATTATTCACTAATAATTCAAGTAATTAAATTAGCAATCAACTGAGATTAGAATCATGAAGTGTAGATGATATTTTTTGAAGTTTTAACCACACTAAAACCATAATTATTTATCTGGCTGCACAGTAACTGCTTGATATATTTCCAGTGCTTCCAGGTTTTCAATTGTGATGGTCTAACATCAATTGGTTCAAGATCTCATTCAAAAACTTAATAATCTCCACAACTCCTATACTAGTAATCAACATGTGCTCACTAGTGACTAGCTTCGTGAGGGAATTCTCGGAGTTCTAGTAAGAAGCCGTGACCAGTGGAGCTAATCCTTGTCGGGTAGAGACAGTTATCTACCTCAGTACAATGGAAGTTGGTCGCGCAATTTCGTGGATTGTTTTATGTTAGAAACTATCACCATTGGATGCCAGCTCAGTGGTCCAGTTGGTTAAGCGTTCGCGCGCGAGACCGAAGGCCCTGGGTTCGAATCCCGCTCGCGGGATCGTGGATGCGCACTGCTGAGGAGTCTCACAATAGGACGAAACGGCCGTCCAGTGCTTCCAGGTTTTCAGTTGTGATGGTCTAACATCAATTGGTTCAAGATCTCAATCAAAAAAATATTTCTAAAAGAACAAATTATTTTTAACCTATACGTCTATTAGTAAACAGACAAAGGAAATCAGTTTGTAAATCAAGAGTTTTACTTAAGATAATTAAATCTAATACACACGTTTTTTTTGGCTTGTTTTCTCTACTATCCACCCTCTTTTTTATGTCAAAGTAAACCATAACAATTTTAAGAAGACATAACTGAAGTTTTGTGTAATAACAATAATAATAATCCATAAACTTACTGCCATAAGTAATCCTCGATTTTCGATTACTACACCCCAACAGCCAACAAAATTAATGACTACTAATAATGAGCCAATTATAATCACACCATAACTGAAATAACGTAATAAACTTGTTCCTTGATATAATTGCAATTCAAATGCATTATATGATGAAAAAAATTGAACGGTATCAATAAAACTTTGATCATTTGCTGTAACCCATGCACCGACAGCAATTAATGCCAAACCAATAATCTAAATTAAATTAATTAACAGAAAATACTGTTAGTATAACAGTTAAATTTTTATTAAAACAAGTTTATTCATTAGATATCAATACTAAGGTTGAACTTGATAGTTTCATATCAATCGAGCATTGTTGTTATATCCCGATGAGTAGAAAGATTGTATTTCTGACATTTCATAACTTAATGTAATCCACTTCTTTAGAGTAAATACATTTACTCTGAATAGGTGGCTTAAAATAATTCACAAAGTACCAGGTTTATTTAATAGTTCTGTGGATTTAGGCTAAGGAATCTACAAACGATAAGTTGAAAATTACTTTTCGTAAATTTTACAAGTTTGTTTTTTGTTCATTTTTACATTGAATCATCTTTAAATAATACGAATCTTTCCATAATACAATTTACCAAATAATAATCTTATGGACATTAGTAACTATTTTTATGGATTAATTTCTGAAATTTTTGATGAGACGCTTTAATCGATGCAGTTAATCATCTTGGAAACGAGATTGTAAGTCATCATTATAATACCGGTTGAAAATTACACTTTATCAGGAATCCACTGAATTTGAAAGCGTCGAGTGCTTTTGTATTTGCTAATAAGACCCAAAACTTTTAAATCCAATAACTCCAAATGAGTTGAAGGCATGCACTGACATGAAATCTGAAACTTATGCGAAATAACTTTCCAATGTTGATGGATGAGAGCGAATCACCGACAAACTATTCTATGATGGATGATATTTGAAACTAAAAGTGAAGTCTTTGTTAGATTATGAGTTTGCTGAAAGACTACCTTGATATCGCTTATATTCATAATCATTATCACATATTAATGTATGGTCACATTGTTTGAAATCTATTTCCTTTAATGCATGATGTACTTCTGATTAATTTAGTAATCTCATCTTACTATTTCGTTTTATCATTGATTTATAAATGAAAACAGTATTATGAAATTGACCCTTACAATTAATAATACCAAACACATTGAACGGATCGATTAGTATCGGAATTTAATACGATAAGTAATTAAGATACTACTTTTTTTTCATTTCTTGTTTTTAGAGTAGTAACTTCATGTTTTTGCGAAATAAAGACATAGTTTACAGTTAACTTTCTGATTGTGAAATGGTAACTAGCATATTTTAAAGCTATTTAGAATAATTTTGATTACTTGCAAAGTATTAGTTTTACCATTTCTAAAATACATATCGATATGATGCTTTATTGATAAACTGTTTGATTATATGTTTAAAATAAGGTTACCATATTAGGACATAATCTGAGTTTGAATCTAAGGGTTTGATTCCATCAACCAATAAAATTGAAGTATATTATATGATTATGCAAATCAATTCGTGCTAAAAACGTTCTGTTCAAACAAAACTATGACCAGGTTAGTAAGTTCTATGCTTTGAAATAGTGAGAAAAGCACATGTTTTTGTCAATGATACCTATATTTGCATATATTCTTTTCTCACAATTATTCATTAAATGGACAATATCAGTACTAGGAATTGTTTTATTCTAGTTCACTCCTCACCAGCGTATAGTACTTACACTTTAGTCAGAAACCGAATTAAGAAATGTTCAGATCCAACCTTGTATTTACGTAACATTGTATTATCTCGTTTCAGTAATGTAATGAAACGTATTATGAGGCGACAGTTTGGACAAGATGAAAAACTCTATAGATGTGACATAGTTGCTTTGAATAAGTACTTTTGTAATCAATCTGTTTCAATGGACTCATAATTTGGAGTTATTTCTAGAGTAAAAAGCAAACGTGCTGGAGACAAAAGTGTCTTTTCAAACTTTAGATTGTTGAAGCCATCGATATACATACAGAATTATAAACTATTTATACAACAAAGTCATTCAATCTCTTCTCCTACCATTGTGCTATTCATTAATATTATTACCCACGCTTCTAAGTAAAGTCGTTCAATTTTTAGACGAAACTTAAGTGTTTCTGTTTGTATGCCCCTACTAATCACTTTATACCCGTTAACTTTATCGTATAATTAGGATCCAAGGATTTTAGATATTGTCCAATTCGCATTTTGTATCATGAACTAATTTAAGCTAAACAAGTATTGAAAACTAGAAAGCACCAGTCAGTAATATGCGCTCACAAACTTGCATAGGATGGAATCCATGACCTACATGGCCATAATCTTCAGATCACTGAGTTTAGTGTCCATTAATCTATCATTCAAAATTCTATTAATTTGTGGTATTTTGTGACAATCATCCACTGTCATCGGTTACACGTGTTTGACGACTAGACATCGATGAACTACACCAACCACTGCTTCTTACTAAAATTCTGGGAATTCCCTCTCGATGTTTATCATTACTTCCTACTGTCCTTTATCACAAGATTATCCATAACTGATTTTGGTCTAAGCGAATCTATTGCAATGTAGTTCTACTTTGTTTAATTAATTTTTTTAATAAGCATTTTTGGCACCTTTTGACACGGTTGTGTATAAATTGGAAATGATTGCCCAAGACATCGTTGGATGAAGAGTGCTGGTGGGCAGCCAATGCTCATAAACGAGGAGTAACAGGTGTAAGCAATTAAGTAAGTATGAGTTATGTTTCTTATGAAATTTCATTAATTAGATGTCTGAGTTATTTTTGTGGGATAAAGAAACATTGATTAACATTATCAGTCCCATTTGATATACGTTCATCCCAACTAGAAAAAAACTTATCTGGATCTCTTTAGCTTAAGTTACTCCATGAATTGTTCAAACGTTCAAATGTTTTAATAACTAAATTATATGAAGTTAATTATTGTATCAAACTATTATCAATTAAAATATCACTTCTAACCAAAAGGATAATAAATATTTATTCACTCATAGTAAAAAATCTACTTTGTTATTTTCAACTGCAAAGATTATCTTCAGTTTTAACAGTGAATATACATATACATTACTGATATGTTAATTAGTCAAAAATATAATAGATATCGTGGGTATGTACTGCTGAGGAGTCTCATATTAGGACGAAACGGCTGTCCAATGCTTCCAGGTTTTCCATAATGATCTAGCTTCAATTGATTCATGATTTCAACTATTGAAATATCATTCATTTAAGACTATTCTTACTAATTTACTTCATTATTATACCATAATTTCATTTTTACATATCAGTTTTCATTTGTAATTTAATTGAATGACAAGATAAATCATCAATATTATGCTGCTGACAAACATTTCACTTTTATATGCTTAACTATAAATTACAAAACCTTCTTTTTTTATTAGTTATTTATTTAATTAAATAATAAAAATGTTAATCAAAAAGTTAGTTAAAAAGTAATTACAAACAATTACTGTTATAATCATGTGTACATTTATAAATTCTAATCTAATGAATAATTTGATATGCGGGTTAAAGTGTTTCAATCAGAATAGTTCAATTAAATTTATTATCTTATCAATAATATCTGATTAATTCACTGTGATTAACAATAAAAAAAAAGTGATTGAATTAATGTAAACGATTTGAGAAAAAAAACAACACAATTATTTAAGAGATATTGTTTTCAGTTTAATCTAATATCTAATACCTAAAACGTTTATGATAGATAGTGATTAGAAGTGGAATCCAAGACACATGTTTAATCCTATTTCGAACTTGTCAGCTGGATATACCTACATCTTAGAGTTGATGTTCATTCTTGGACTAGAATCTAGTACTGTTCAATTCAAATGTCATTGAGCTATCCACTTATCTACTGAGTTCAAACAACATATTACATCGGGAAATAAAAGCAGATATGAAAAGGATAAATAATAACTGGAAAGAACTGGAAAGGATTGCCAAGGAAAGGATTGAATGGAGAGTGCTGGTAGTCGGCCTATTCTCCTCCACAAGGAGTAACAAGTGTAAGTAAGCAAGTAAGTAAGCTAGAGCTTTTAAAATATTCACATTCTATAAATATGAAATATTAACATTTAGTCAGATATTTTGATTAAGAAGTATAGAATGCAGTTAATTTTCTTTTATTATCATTTATGCCATTAGATGAAAAGTGTACTAAATATTATTTGGCTCCATTACCATCTAAGAATTTAATACGATTTAAAAGTTGAATCAATATAAAGATTAACAGTAAACAATACACAATAGTTACTATCCATAAATGTTATTTGTAAAGGGATAATTTTCTTCTTGGTAATGTGAACGAAGACTCTGTTAAGTCAATCATCACAGAAATCATAATATAATATATTACTTATTCATATCTTTTAAATAAAAATATCGCCATTAGTTTGGCATAGCTAAATACTTCATTATCATTAAATGATTCATTTCTAGTGTTACAGTCATTAGATATGAAAATATTACAACTAATGATAAACGATTAAGATTACAAAGGACTATGTATTCATATCCAGTTTGCTCTAATTTACATTAGTTGGTTAAATCAAATATCACTTTTCTACATAACAATATGATTATATCAGTGAAGAGGTTCAGTTATGAAGTCACTATTCGAAAAGGTATGAGATGGGAAAAAATCATATAACATAAGTAGAGTCATAATTGTTGTTGTAAGATTAGAGCTTTGGTAACAATAATGGTCATCCTCATCAGATCGCATAAACATCTAACCCACTAATTAATAACAATGAGTTGATGTCTTTAATATTTACCATTATTATTATTATATCCTAAAATTATCTAACTAAACTAGTTAAATAATGTGAATGATATTTGAAATAATAGAAAAGATTTTTAGCTCAGGTAGATGATTTTAATGGAGTTTTGTCTTTTAATCTGGAGTATGTACTAATGAGGTCGTTCAGAAGAACGATGAAAGCTCCATGACCAAACCATCCAACTCAAAGAACAAAACTCCATCAAAATGAATGATATGTGTTCATTTATAATATGAGCTGTTGTATTAAGTTAAAAATTTACATGATTGAAGTATTTCATTAATGATTGTTTATTCTTCTTTTCTCAAAGTTTCAAACAACCATTCACTATTGAATGAATTGAATTACTGTGATTATTATGAAAATATTATTGAATCTGAATTTAAAGGATTTATTTCCTTTTTTTGTTTGTTCACATTATAACACTGAAGTTTATATTTAGTTCAAGTAGAAATTTATACTTAAGCATATAACCATCTTTTTTTAATGATAAAATATCATGTCAGTGTACAAGTCTTAACTCTGCCTGTAGCTCTTTCAGGGTTACTGCTGTACCAAAGCCTGAAGATAAGAGGAAGGTTGAGCAAGGAGTCAGTAACCACATCCTGTAGAAAACAACCTTGTTAAAAAAAACGCTAATTAGTAAGTAAGTAAGTAAGTAAAACTCTTTATTCCAGCTCAATTTTTTGATTAACTTTATATTGATAATTACAACATAGAAAATGTTGGATAGATCTAATAAAGTAATAAGACTTAATTAACGATGTAACATGACTGAAGTCAGTTATTGATTTTATAAATTAGTAATGAAATAAAATGTTTGTGTTACCACCAATATAATATTCACTTGGCAAATGAACAATTACAATAGAATTAAATGATAGAACTGATCCATATTGTCAGTTTTCTCGTTTGATCAAAAACAAAAACAAAACAAACGGAAATACACTAAAATATCATTATTAAATAAATAATAGTTTGAATTATATAGAAATTAATATTAAAGCAATTAGTCCCTTTTATAAATTTCGATAGAACAGTGAGAAGACGGAGTTGATCTGAAAAATGTGATGTATTACCGCTATACATTTCGAACAATCTGGTCACACTGTCAGGGCATTTTTATATGAAAATTAATAAAGTACAATTAAAATAACTAAGTGGAGAGAAAGAATAAGATGGCTTCAAAATCAATGTATGTCAAATGATTCGATCAATGTAGGAGGTAGAAAACCAAGCTCATCGATAGCAAAACATATAATTGAGACGGTTCACAAAATTAATATTAATATAGCATTTAGAATGTTGTACAGAAATTATCAAGGGCGAATTCTTAAGTTTATTGAAGCCTTGGTTATTCGTAAATTTAAACCCCTCTTATGTGTACAAAAACAATTTGTCGTAACCTTGACTTTACCTTGGTAATCCTTAATTCATTCTATGGCCTAGGATAACACGACAATTTCTTATTCTTTCTCTCCACTTAGTTATTTTAATTGTACTTTTATTTGTTTGATCTTTATTAATTTTCATATAAAAATGCCCTGATAAGTATATATGTGACCAGATTGTTCAAAATGTATAGCGCTAATACATCACATTTTTCAAATCAACTCCGTCTTTTCATTGTTCTATCGAAACTAATATTAGTTTTGTGAATTATAACCAAAAACAAATCACTTTTAAATAAATACACTTACCACAAGTAGAAAATTTAAGCAAAATAGAATGAATTTTGGGATTGTAAATGTTAAACCCATTTTTTTTGGATGAAATTTAGTAGTGAATCAACTAAATGGTTGATATAAATAGGTAAAAAATTATTGTGTCACTGAATACCTTTTTATATTTGAACCAATAAGCAAAACTGTTGTTATTTTATTCAGTCTAACTAATAAGCAAGTAAGTTTTCCTCTAGTCTAGTTAGTGTAATAATAATATGCGTGCTCACATTCTATAATTTTTTTGTTACCGTGCACATATATGTGTAGGCTTATGATCAAGTATAACACACTTGTATATGTACATATAAGTACATCGCTATATGCATCCTAAAAGGTATTTTGCATACCAAAATATGGTAGTCAGGTTCATAAAATAGGTTGCTCAATCTAATCAATTTACTGGTCGGCCAAATACGTGGCCCCTATAGAAAATGGTTGTTATGATATTGATTAAGACTAACATACCTTCTATAAGTGTGTTTAAGTTTAGCACTTCACGAAATGGATTAAAACTGTCTCTCTGGCATATTCTTCCATCTTCATACTCTCTCTCTCTTTTAACTTATCTAATTTCTCACCATACATTTATTGTAGATTATTTTGAGTTAACATTCAGAATTCATTGATGTGAATGAATAATCAAGAAAGTAGTTCGATAGGCCAATCAACCTGATAATGTAAATTATCATATGTGGGTGTTAAACCAAATGTCTATTTAACTAACTGTCATATATGTATCTAGATATTTGTAGATATGCGTAAATGTTATTTTCAGAAATAGAACCAAAATTTTATATATTACACTAAGTCAAGTAAACAAATTCCATATTATCTTAAACAAATTTTGTGTTATGTAACAATGCTGAAATTTCTGACCTAATGAGATTTTTAGTAAACATAGATATATATAAAGAAAAATGTCATAGAAAGGCAAAATATACAATATTATATGTCCTTTAAAAATTAGTATTTAGGATTCAATATACCAAATTACAACCACTTATCTAATATCTGAATTACATTCATTTGTATTTACTTACAATATAGAAAAAATAACCCGAATTGTATCGCAATTCAGTGTGAAATATTCAACAAAAAGCAAAGTATTAACATTAGTGATAATAATAATACGAAGATGTCAAACCATATAACTAATAAACAGAAGTAATGATAATACAAAAAAAATATAGTATGCGGAAGAAGGTAGAGTTCTGATACTCTCGTAAACATAAAAAGACTCTGTTTACAGTCATATGATAATATCTGGAAAAAATAGGATCAAAACATCACCACTAGCTTTAATTTTGAGTCATTTAATGAAGCTACGTTGTATTATCTTTAAGATAGGATTACTTTAATAACCATGATAAGTCTACTAGAACCATTTTTCATTCTATAAAGCCATGTTATAAATTGATTGTTTGAATCTTCCCATCGATGTTAAGGACTGAAATTGATCAATCTCTTATGGACATATGTGCATCCTGTGTGGATTGCCTCGATATTACCATAAGTCACAAGCATTATAAGTAGCGATGGATGGTGGCTAGTAGTGAATTCCAGGACGCGAATTTCATCCTATTTAGGACTCGTCATGTGGATGTACCCGAATCCCAGAGTTGATGTTCACTCTGGGACTCGAACCCAGTACCGTTCGCTTCAAGGTCACCGCGTTATTCACTTAGCTACTGTATCCTGATAACCACCGCCTTGTACAATAGGGTGAAGTTTAAATTCATTTTGTACTCGTTTGAAAATATATTCTATGCATTTTTAAGGGAGATATCTAGAGGATTATATATATATATATATATATATATATATATATATATATATATATATATATATATATATATATATATATATATATATATATATATATATAAATGCCGCTAAACTTCAGCATGTGACTACATCGACCTAAGTGAATTTTTTAACACGTGAGACTGAATACAAATTCTAAAAGAATTAAACGGTTCATCTTACTTTCCAAATTAAGTAACTATTTATAAATATTTTACTTTATCTCTACCAACAGTCTGACAAATATACGTTAATGCTTTAATGACCTAAGGTGTTATCGTTGACTAATTTAAATCAACAAAACAACAACTGTAAATCATAAGCATTTATTATCAGTTATTTTGATGATCACTTCATTAAATCTAATCATAAGTGATGAATATAAAAGCTTTAATACACTGAATTGCAATCTATTCAGAGATCGAAAATCTTACATTATGTAATGAACAATACTACTCAATGTATTTTGACTCCCAAATTTCTCGTACTGTTATATTATTATTATTATTATTATTATTAGCTTTACTCAATATTATATTTTTGGAACAATATAGAATTATTAATACATATTATTTCAACAAGTTTCCGTTCTTTATTTCTTGATCGATTCCGACGATAAATATTGAGTGAACGGCAGTTAGATGTTAGTAGTTCAAGAATCCATATCTAAATAATGTTCATCCTTTTCAATGCATATTGTCAGCCACCACGATATCATTGATTGTACTTTTTTGTAACTTGTACAGTGAAATGCCATAAACATTTCATAAACGCACCTGAATAGGATATACGATTAATAGACATAATGATGTTTTATGACAGACAAAAAAATAGATAACTTGTTGAAATATTTAGATGATAGGAAAAGCCTATCTGTTATTATTGAAACTTCTATTCAAACCCAACATATCACACGATAATTTCTTTTCAAACAAATTACCTAAAATAAATAATTATCACATGGATAGAATCAAAATAACCGTTTATATTCATCATTTAATTTAAGCAACTGATAAGTTTCCGTTCAAACATTGATGAATGAATCAATAATGGAAACTCAATAATAACTCAATTTTTTAAAGCATGTATGAGGTTCATGAAAGAATAATCTGGAAGTTGATATAATGAAACTAAAAGCCAATAACATTAACCTTAATATATATTTCACAAGTTGAAATCATGAGTCAGTTGAAGCTAGACCACCATTGAAAACCTGGAAGCACTGGATGGCCGTTTCGTCTTAGTATGGGACTCCTCAGCAGTGCGCATCCACGAACCCGCCTCCCGCGGGATTCGAACCCAGACCTACTGGCTTCGCGCGCGAATACTTAACCATTAGACCACTGAGCCAGCATCCGATGGTGTTAATGTCTAACTCCAACCAATCCACGAGGTTGCGCCACCGTACACCATTGTCTTCAGTGAGTTCCTATCTCACAACAGACCTGGTTGAACTCCACTGGTAACGACTTCTCACTAGAACTCCAGGAGTGTCTCCTGAAGTCAGTCACTATATATGTGACGAAACAATATCCATGTTAAAAAGAGTATTTTTAAACATATCACCATGAAAAGATAACGAGAAATTTTAAATAAGATCAGATGGGTTAAGAGAGAAAGAGATTGTTTCACTGATAACAATATATTATATTACATTATTAGAAGCTTTATTCAACATTATATTTTTGGTACAACATAAAATTCTCAGCATAAAGTATTTCAACAAGTTTCCTTTTCTTATACCTTGATCTATTGTGACGATAAATTTTGAATGATGACCGGTTAGATGTTAGGAGTTCGGTAATCCACATTTGATTAATGTTCGTTCGTTTCAATGCATATTGCGAGCCACCATGATGTCGATGATTGTACCTTTTTGTATCACGTATAGCGAAAGGTTGTAAACTTTTCATAAACGCGCCTGAATAGATTGTGTGCACAATAAACATAATGATGAGCTTAAACAAACAACAAAACAAATAACTTGATGAAATATGTAGATCGGAGGAACAGGTAGCCCAGATATTCAAACAGGCCGCCAGTAGATGAACCACTTGACCAATAAAGTATTCATGGTTCAACTTCCACTCTAATTGATTAAATCAAGTATATTTTACGAATTTAAAAGGCAATAGCCAAATGAAATCGATAATAGTTCATTATTTTTTATGCTACATACAGAATTAAATTGCGCATTATATGATCCTATTTATGACATTCGACATAAATTCATTTTCAATTCAAATACAAAGGTAAGGAGACAAACCTTAAACGTATTATCTTTCTATACACAAAGGTTACATTCATGATTATCTCGAAATTGTGTCTGAATCAAGAATTCTAAACTTATAGCTCACAATTAGACAATGAAAACTTCTCAATATACAATTTTATTGGAAAGGCTACCATTATTCACTTTCGCTATACAGAATAATGCTATGGGTTTTGAAAGCAAAATTGACACTTGTTAAGGTATATTTCTCATTATTAATCAAATCACAATTTCTAAGTCTTGATATCAATTTATGGTTAAAAAAATGTTAATTTTGGTGGACTCTATAGAGCTCATGTATTGAAGTACTGATGATATTGGTATGGATAACTAACTTAATCAGTTCATTTTGTTTTGAATTATATTTCTCGAACATTCATACGGTAAGGAAGAATGAACCTATATTTAATCATAAAATCCATGACAGGTATATTTGAAGGGCCTACTCATGTTATGATTTGAAATAGTAACATGTTTATAATGAATTCAGAAAATAATTCAGAAAAATAAACTTTTCTTAATCATATCTCGTCTCTTACATATGCTGGAAGCTATAAATCCTCGAACCAACAGTCGTATTCTTCCTTGGCCAAATTAGCCTTAACAAACGATTTTAAATATTATTATTATTTCCCATACTATCAGAATGGGTTTTGTGGAGAGTTTAAGAAATTACACAAGTTGAAATCATGAGTCAGTTGAAGCTAGACCACCAGTGAAAACCTGGAAGCACTGGACGGCCGTTTCGTCCTGGAATGGGACTCCTCAGCAGTGCGCATCCACGATCCCGCACCACGCGGGGCTCGAACCCAGGACCTACTGGCTTCGTGCGCGACCATCTAACCACTAGACCACTGAGCCGGCATCCAACGGTGTTAATGTCTAACTCCAACCAATCCACGAAGTTGCGCCACCGTACACCATTGTCTTCAGTGAGTTGTTATCTCACAACAGACCGGTTGAACTCCACTGGTAACGGCTTCTCACTAGAACTCCAGGAGTTTTTCCTGAAGTCAGTCACTAGTGAGCAGTTGATTATTATCAGTATGGGTTTTGTGGAGAGTTTAAGAAATTACACAGGTTGAAATCATGAGTCAGTTGAAGCTAGACCACCATTGAAAACCCGCGTGGTGCGGGATCGTGGATGCGCACTGCTGAGGAGTCCCATTCCAGGACGAAACGGCCGTCCAGTGCTTCCAGGTTTTCAATGGTGGTCTAGCTTCAACTGACTCATGATTTCAACCTGTGTAATTTCCCATACTCTTTGTTCGTTTATTTTTCTTCCCCTCTTCTTTTTAAATATATGCTTAACTATCTGATTATTTGATCACTTCTTATTGTGTAATTTTTCCCAAGTCGTTGGCCAACATCACACTATGAAACACTAATTTAGGCCTTTATTATTTTAATCACAACTAGTACACCTATTATAACACTATCAATTTGTTCTTTTTTACTTATTTTTTTCTTATGTAATCTATTTCACTGTCATCACTGGCTC